CTACCATCAAACATGTTAGTGCGAGAGACCTAGCTGGCAGGAGAAGAATAAACAACGGACTTAGAATCGCCTCTACGAGCAATAACGCAAGAAGGGCAGGGATAGTCGAGACGATGAAAGTGGCTCTGACGCTGAATCGTGACCTTTGACTAGATTCCCGGCGGCAATACACTACTAAAAAAGTCAGTGTTGGGGGGGGGGGGCAAATGCTAAAAATGTTCTAATCTAAGTCTCTGTAAAAAAAATCTTCAGAAATTGATCAAAGGCTGGGGGCAGTGCCCCCCTCCGCCTAGCCCAACATAGCTCCGTCACTGCATACCAAACGGGGTGGCGTTGAAGGAAGCAACCGTGAGCGAGGTCATCAGCGCTTCTATGGACAGGAGCACAATCGTCGTCTTCACACGATGTCGGTACCTCTTCAGGAGGAGGAGTGAGTTACAGTACTACTGATTAGTGAAAGTTAGTGACTGATGCCTACGCCTACTGATGTGAGAGAGAAGATGGAGTAGGCGCGATATTACAATACTTACCAATCACGGACGCCGACGGCGTGGTGAGCCCCGATAGCGAGAACCTGCGGGCAAGTAGTGCGAACACCGCGTTCCAAACAACCTCCTCCACCTTCTTCGCCGTCTTGCGAACCTCCTCCGCGCCCCCCGCCGGCGAGGACGACTTGCCGGCGCGTGAAGCACCCACCGTCAGGCGCACCTCCTCCTCCTTAATCTCCGACGAGGATACCACCATCATGCGAACCTCCTCCTCCTTAAATCTCCGACGAGGAGCTACCGTCAAACCCGAGGAATAGGGAGCCATTTGGGAGGGGGAGAGGGAGGGAGCAACCATCACCGTCGGCCATGAGGACGGGCAGAGAAGCTCCATGATGGGTTCAGTCGGTGCCTCGCTGGATGTGTGTGGATTTTGATGACGAAGGGGAGACAAGTGGAGGAAGCAAAAAAAGATTGAATAAAAAAGAATGCTTTCATTCAGAGTTGTCTGGCTGGATGTGTGTGGATTTTGATGAGGGTGAAGGGGAGACAAAACAAGTGGAGGAAGCAAACAAAAGATTGAACTGGATATGTGTGGATTTTGATGAGGGCGAAGGGGAGAAAAAATAAGTGGAGGAAGCAAAAAAAAGATTGAATAAAAAGAATGCTCAGGATGTGTGTGGATTTTGATGAGGGCGAAGGGAAGACAAAACAAGTGGAGGAAGCAAAAAAATTGAACTAGATGTGTATGGATTTTGA